GGGTGGGAGAGGAGAAGGAAATGCATCAGGAAAATAGCATCTAGGAGACGGGAACCTATAAGGGGAAAGAAAAGATGGATAAGGCCACTGGGATCCAGTGTTGGAAGCGTTAACAGGAGGTCAATAAACTGGGAGCCATAGTTAGGAAGCGACACACCAGTTTACTTTATGCCATGTGTTAGATGCTCTCTGGGTGAAAGACTGATCCTGTTAGGGCCAACAGAACTTTCCTAACTGCTTTTAATGGAGAACTGGATCGTGTCCTCTATTTTCCCACAGCTTCTCTTTCTGCTCCCACAGCTTTACTTTTGGCACAGGCATTCCCACATATACAACACTTACACTGTATTTAGGTGAGTGGGAGCCTGCTCCCAGTTAAAAGCCCCTCAGCGCTCAGATAACAACCAACGATCACAATAACCCGTGGATGAGCCCTGACATTCTCACCCTATCTAAAATCCAGTGCGTGGCCCTTGGCCAGCTAACACTGTATTGGCTGCAGTTCGGGAGAGCAGAAGCTGGGTACAAGATCATTATCAGTACTTTCTTCAGCAAGTAAGTGCTGCTTTGAGGTCTTCTATCCCCGTATTGACAGCCTGACCCTGGTCAGCTTGGGAGCTGCAGCAGTATCACAGCACAAAGTGATTTGGCTGGAGGCAAGCATAATTAAAGCTTAGGGCTATCACCAGTTGCGTTAAGATGCTGCAGCCAGCGGTTACTTCTAATCTTCCTTCCTCTGTCTTTTATTCCCCTCCTCCAGTGTAAAATCAATATGTTTAGAAGTGAAATAATGCACTGTCTTGCTTGCATTCTAGAGACCTCATTCTAGGCTCAAATAAATAATAAATGCTTTAAACACTGAGAATTCACCTTAAAGCCTAACATTTAAAAAACCTAAGTTTAACATTTCTTGAATGAAGCCACTTATTAAATTTATACGTGAAAGAACAGGCCTTTGTCAGTACAGAGCTGATAAGTTTTCTACTGCAGAGAAAAAGTGCTGCTATCTTTAGAAGCCTAAAAAAAAAATCTGATTTTGTAAATCAGCTGCAGGTTTGATGTTATAAATGGTGAACAACTCCCTGTGTGATCAACACAAACCAGCCCATGGGTTGGCTTTGGGAAGTCTGTAGTGCAGCCTGGCCTGCTACAGATGCGGAGTTCATGATGAACTCCATCTATTCTCCCACACACTCTGAACCCTACTGACCAGGGGAAATTCATCCGGAGGTATGCAGCCATATGTTCCTGCTTTCTTTTTCAAACGAGATCAGCTTGGCGGGTCACGGTTCTGCTGCTCTCCCTCTTGCTATGCCTTTTTATTTTAATGGCACATCTTTTGTCAGGCTGACAAGAAAGGCTTCTGTCTCCTGCTCTGAGCCAGCTGGACATGAGTCAAGTCCAAACTGGGAGCGTGCAGGCATACTTAGAGGAGCACAAAACCTAAGCTGACAGCCGTGGGCAAGGGGAGGCTGCATAGCTCCTACAATGTGGAAGAAATCTCTTGTGTCTCCACGGGCATGACCTCAGAAACATCTATGACAGCAGTAAGACCCAGATGTAAAGGCTATTAGACATTACAATGATGAGGCCACATTTTCATACCCATCTCTATTAGCTCATCAGGGACATTGGGCAAGACACCCCCTGTGATTCAGAAGACAACAGAAACAATGAGAGCTGACCACAAAAAACCAAAAAACAACAAAAAAAGAAAAAAATGACTGGATCTGCTTTTTTAAAAAGAAAATTCATTTTTATCTTAAGTGTGGGTTTCTTTGTGGGTTTGGGTTTGTTTGTTTGCTTTTGAGACCATTCTTATCTTCATGGGGGGAAAAAAATCTCATCTTTTATGGTGAACTGACTGCCCTGAGAGAGAAGCCAAGAGATCTGTCCTTTACCTGAGACTCAAGGCAGAGTCTGGGGTTTGCACCTCTCCTGCTTGCTCTCATGGGACATTTTTGAACTCACAGTCCACAGGCCAGCATGGGCACTGCACTGGCCCATCCGGCTGGCAAAGGTGGATTAGAGATCGCTATGGGGAAAAGGATGAGTCCTGTCCCAGCTAGGTGTTTTGAATTATTCAAGAGGTGCAGATGACATCTACTAAAATAATTACAGCTAAGTTCTATGAAACACTGCAACATTTCTCATGTCAACGTGTCTTAAATATATTCTTCTGTAAATGGAATCCATCATGTGGTATGACAAAGACCTGCAGAGTACCACAGCAGTTCTTATATACTCGTTTGTTACACCATGAATTTTTCAAATTGCAGTTTAATTGTATTTAAGCATGCAACTTTAAATTGAGTATTTAATTAGAAATGAGGTATCTTTCCAGGCAAAATGTAAAGTCAGACACGCTATAGCATGTATGAAACTCTGATCTCTCTCCAATGGTTTATAATACTTGAATGAAATTTGAAGGAACACGAACTTTCCATTCCATGTAACACGGCTGCAGTTTGTGAAACGAGATATGAAAGAACAGGGCACAACCCTAGATGTCTTGCTTGTGTGAGAAACCCTTATTCATGCATCCAGTCCCACTAAAGTCAAGGGGACTGCTCATCTGAATAAAGATTATTCCTACATGGCTTTGCAGAACTGGGTTTATTTGATCGTAAATCAAAAAGAGAACAAAGAAGAGTGTAGGGGGGGAAATGCAGAAAGAGAGTCAGCAGGTTTTTTCTCATCCAGCTCTAGGACTGATAACAGCAGTGGCTGGGTACATTTTCTGTCTGCTGGCTGAATGCCTGAGCTATTTTGATTCAATACCAAGTAGAACATTTAACAACTCCACAACACACAGGGCTAATTACAAGATTATTGCCATCTCTTTCTCCTATCAGAGCATCCTTCTGCATTCCCACTGTAACATTCTGCAGTACATTTGACAGGGAATCACTTTCACATTTTTTGAAAATGGATGCAGCTATGGAAAAAATCCAAAATGACTGCACTGCTACTAAATTAACCAACGCGAACAAAGGCAAGAAGCAGTGGGGAGGACTGGACAGAACTTCTATTATTGTTCCTCATCCAGGGATAGATCATTATGACCCACCATTCAGACATAAAGCTCTATAAATCTCAAGCATAGTTTCTCTAAATCAGTGGAAATTTGCCACTGACATTAATGGGAGTAAGATCAAACTGCATACAGTGAGCACATTTGTCAGGAAAAGTCAGCCATCTGAAATTTCAGTATAATTTAAGAGAATGAGCCAATTCATGATGAGAATATTTCCCAGTTAGGCTCTGCACCTCTAGTGTCAAAGAAAGCTTTGTCAATGATTTGTGTAAGCCCAAAGTTGGAATCTGAATAATTACATTATCACAGGGAAGTTCACAGCTGGCCAACAATTGGCCAAATTTGTCCTTTAGTTAAATCTCAGCCACTCCGCTATACTGGATATAACCCAGCCACAAACTGCTTGCCAAAACTCCTTTGAAATGACTGTGGTAAAGACTTACATTTTGTTGGTAGGAATAAACAAGCAGATTTGCAATCCAACCATAGGAGAGTCAAGGTCATGGCTTTCAGTGGACATCTCCTAATCGGACTCCCTGCATAAACATAAAATCTAATGTTTGCTTATTATCCTAGCTAGCACTTTAATAGTCTTAAACCGGTTGACAGAGCAGTATGAAAATAACCTTGGTGCTCTATGAGAAGCTGAAACTGTGAACGAATTTGCAGACTCAAAAGCTCTCATCACTTGGGGCTCATGTTCGCTAAATTATTTGCCAGCTGCTCTGATAACCCCATGTTCAGCGTGTGTTACACATCCCCGCTCCGTGCTTGACAAGAGAAGATACGCATTGGCTACAGTGACCAGCAAGCAGATTTGGTCTGTTTGCTCAAGCTGTCACAATTGTGCTCTTAGATGCGGTGGTTCTGGGTCCAATTCCCAATAACACCTACGAGAACAGAAAGCAAGCTAAAGCTGATGAGCTAAAGGGGACAGGGAAGAAGCCGAGCGGGGCACCTTTGTTCTCCTTAGTCAGCTTGTCAGCCATGTCCCAGTGCTCGTAGCTCCGCAGGACATTGTTGGTGATGTTGACGTGGCTGGCAGCCATGTGGTGGATGCGCTGAGGGATGGTGATGGTCCCCGCCAAGGAGGAGCCAGCGGTGCTGGTGCTGCTTCCAGCAGAGCTGACAGGGGATGGACTCAGGGACATGGGCGATGGCGTTTCTGTGCTCCTACGAGAGGTAAAAGGAGAGTGAGTCCCCCCTCACACACACCACTTCATTGCTGTCCTAAATGTACTTGAAAAATTAACTCTGCACCCCAGTCAGGGGAGAATGTGCAGTAGTACCTCCTGGTTTTATGAGAAAGGAGAGCTTATAAACTGGGAAGGATTGAAAATAAAAAGGGATTTAATTCTCCCTACAAATGAACCTGTTATTTAAAAAAAGAAATCTATCATAAAAATAGAGCAATCTTTCAGAGCAAGAAGTATCTCATAGCTGTAATGATTTTTCTACCTGCTGCCAGAAGCTGCAATGGCAGTTAGAAAACACTCAATGTGCAATATTGGCTTATTATCAAAGCATTTTGTGGAAATCACAATGACAGTTTGCTCCAAATACAGTCACCACAATAAGTAAAGTGCAAGTCTTAAAAGCACCCTGCAGAGCGGTATTAGGAGCTGAGGGTACCGTGGGATTATGAATATCTCTATAGGATTCTTAAGACTGGCTACAGAGATTTGTTTCTAATTGCCTGCAGTTCATCCGCACAGTTTTGTTCAGAGCAGTGTTTTAAGTTACCTACTTAGTGCAGCACTAATGTTCTAATATAGATTTTCCTTTAATTCTAACACCAGCAATTAGGAATCACCTGCTGGCTGCAGGCAGTGTGGAGGTCAGCACAGCAAGCTCATGTTTGGAGCTGTGCAGTGCTGAACGCTCACATACAGCTATTCTCTTTGAAAATTTGTTTCAGCGAACAAGATTAAGGGTTCCAAAAATCTCTTCTCTTGTCCCCATTTGGAACCACTTACCTAAACAAATGCATTTGATTTGCTGCGGAATACACTTGAAATGCAGGGCCGAGATGCTCCCGGCGCTCTCTGCGTGAAGCAGAGACACCAAAACTCTCCGGACAGGGATGTTGCAACCCCTCTCTTGACAGGCGGCCACTGATGCCTCATGCTGTGCAACAGCATCAGGCTCGCTCAGACTCATTATGGGCCTGATCCAAACCCCAGGGTAGAAAGGCTCCTCCTCTTGGCTTTAGCAGCCACCATCAGTGGTCCTGAATGTGAAGCCTGGGCACAGACCTGCTGTGCTGATACCTTGCAGGTGCTGTAGGCCAGCCCGCTGCCACGGCACAGCCTTGGGCTGAAAGGCATTTATGGCACCAGCTTTTGCTGCAGATCTTCCAGAAGTGCTCTTCTATCACCTGTGCTCCACAACAGGCTCCTGTTGATACATTCTTTTTCCAGAGCTAGAGACCACGTTAATTCAGCAGCCAGTAGCTTTTTACGCAGCTTATGTGTTATAGTTTAAGCATATCCTACAGCACAAATGTTTTATTTTTACGTCTCAAAACATCCCAGTTACTTGACACACCACAGTGTCTTTAATGCACAGAAGAGCTGAACTATAGTAGATTAGGTCTGGGAGCAGTTAAAAATCATAAGTATCTGAGGACACTAGGAGTATTTTGTTAGAGCCACTTACAACAAGCTGACGCACTTCTGCCAAATAAAGCACATTGTTCATTGGATTGAGCCTGTTGTGCACAGCCATTATTACTGTGGTGAGTCTATTAAATCTCTCTATTTTGTGCTTTCTGTCGCTAGAGGTGGGAAACATTTCTGTAATGAAACCAGGGAAAATTTGTTTCATTGCCAGCCTGGAACTCAGGCCAACTTTGTAAAGGTTCACAACCCTTTCAAACAAAAGTAGCCAGAAATTCCAGTAAGCCAAGCTGAGATTTTTGATGGTTTGAGATCCCAAGCGGACTACACTTCATGGCAATGGATAAGTTTTGTTTTGTTCAAAAAAAGATTTAAGAATAACCTGTTGTTTCCCCATTCTGAACCAGGCTGCTGATCCATCTTCAGTGGTGCCGTACCCTGATGGTGTTTGGTCTCTCCTCTGTGCTGTGCAACTTCTCTTCCCATCTGATACAAATTTGCAGGGGAATAAGAGGAAATTGTAGAGCAAGAAGCCCTGGGAAGGCAGAGCACATGCCAGTGGCAGCATCCTGGCCGGTGACAATCCTTGGGGTCACCAGGAGACACCTGAGATATACGGCACCTCTGAGCCAGCAAGGGAGCTTTTCTTCTGAGACTCCACGCAGAGGGGACAGAAGACCTGAGTGTGGCCTGTGTCTTTGTGTGTTGGGTCACAGGTGCCCTAATGACACCCTTATAACAAGGCCTTGCCGTATTCAGTTATTCTTACATGTCAAGTGCTTCTTTCTCTGAATAAAAGATGGAGATGTGCACTTTCAGAGCTTTGCTTCCGTATCTCCGAAGTTGGTGGGAAGACATCTATCAGCTGAGGGTTACGTTAGAAGTGGTGCTGACCTGAATACTGGGTTTCTGCTGCCTACCTTGCAGCCGGACAAGACATTTTCTCCTTCAACCAAAACCCCACCAATTCTAAATTCTGGGCACCTAATCAGCAACATTAAATAGCAAAGGAGATGTCACCACCTGCAGAGCACACACCTCATAGGGGTCTATTAGAGGACATGAATAAAAGGGTAACTTCCACTCCACGAAATTTTTAGGTATAAACCACTTCTTAAGGAACAAAAGAGGTGTAATGCTCCAGTGGTCTATTTCGGCACTAGAACTTTATGGAAACCTTACTGTATTTTTATTGCAATACAAGGTTTCACTGACATTTAAATGCCATGAAAAAACTGGCACATATTAAATAATTTAATTTTGTAGTTGCTTTTCCAATGTTAAAATATCTTTTAGGTTTTTATTTAAAGTGTTTTTGTATTTCAGCCCTTCAGTTTGTGTTATAATCTATACTTAAGTATCTCTATACACACACATATTCAAAATAATTTTGTGTATTTGGGGGTGCGTGTGTGTGTGTATACGCCAAAATATTTTGAATTATCTAAGACAGTATTTTCCTTTAAGCAAAATGTTGGAATTTTTGGTTTTGTACTGCTTAAGAACAAAGGCTTTTTGAAAACTATTATTTCTGTGCTAAACTTCAACCCCTTCTAATTCAACCCTTATTACTTTGTTTCCTTGGAGTGTCCAATAGTTATTTCTTCTTACGAACCACCAGAAAGAGACCATTAACAATAATCATTTTCACCTAGAATTCAGTCTACTCAAATAATGAAGGAAAGAAAGGTAAAGTCCTTCTCCTTTGTTTTACCTGTATCTGTATGCGTGGCCAGGAGAAAGGAGCCGGAGAAGTGTGTGTCAGGTGGCAAGAGACATGGCAAGATAAAGGCAAGGTTGCAGCAGCAATGCACCCTCGTTGAACAGCAGATAGTAACTGCATTACCCTGACTTCATATCTGAGGCAAGGGTGTTTTACTGTTAGTATAAAGCCACTGATAATTGGTTGACTAAGTGCCTTCACATTTTCACCACTATTACACCTTCAGTTTTATTAAACAGCACTTACCATATATCAATGAAATATTCATTGGTCTTTCATTACTAAACGAATCATTGAAAAATCATTGCAATGAAGGTTAACCTTACTTTGGCTTCCTGAAATGACATGGTACTTGCTAGCTAATTAACAGATATTTTTATGGCCTTCATTTGGCTTGAGAAGCAAACTGTCAAAGAATTCAGCACAGATCCAGCACGGCTGATTTTAGACTTAAGTTGGCTTTGCACAAAGATGAAGAGGTGTTTCAGCTCTTCCTTCCCACTCCCACTGGATGGCTCACATCAGTATCTGATTTAGCCCAGTGGGAGCCCCTCACCCCCCCCAAGCCCAAGGCAGCTGTAAGATCATTCTGTCGCCCAGAAAAACATTTTCTACCTGCTACATATTTGAAACACACCTGTAGCTCCCAAACCACTGAGTCATGGCCTGTCCTTTGCCTTTAGAGGCACCAAAACATTTCCCCCCCTCTTGGAACCATTTGTTCCCAGACAGAAGTATTTGGCAGAAAATACTCACTTTCCATTGCCGCCCCAAGGTGAGGGGGCCTGTGAGGCTTTTGAAGAATTCTGTAAGTACAAAACCAAAATGTAAATGAAGGTGATGCAAGTACATGAATACTGATGACACAAGGTTCCGCGCACGTAGCAGAACAGCTCTGCACATCAGTCCCACAATTAAATGGCTGGTGGATGATTGGCGGGTTCCAACCAGTAGCTTGGAAGTCACTTGATAAAAGAGGGAACGCAGTAAAGTTCCACTAAAAGCAGATGTAGTTCACAAATAAGTGGTTTAATTACTGCAAAGTAAGTTCTTCAGAATGCAAATGACTTCTTATCTTTAGGGGGACCTGCAATCTTTTAATAAGAAACAAAAAGAATTTGAGTTGATGCCTTAATGAAATTAATCCCTCCCAAGTTGCTAGGGAAGGTGGCTTGGGATTTAGACAGTACTAGAAATAAAACTTGCAGTAAGGATCTGCTTGAGTGCTGTTGTTTTTATGTATTTTATTTGTACAAATTGACTTTTCTTACCTGCTTACACACTCTGCCTTTCACATCTGTGTAGCACCTTGTACAACCCTGCACAAAAAGATTGCCCAGCAACAATAAACCCAGATTTTGTCAGTCTTGCTCAGACAGGGTGGTATCTTACTTAGTTCCCATAAAAAGCGGTGGTATCAGGGCTGAAGCTATCTATGTGTGCTTTCTGAAAACCCTCACTCTGACCTCCCTTGCAAAGAAGTCAGCACACACAGTGAAAATTTAATCAGAATTTACAAGTTCTCTGAGAGGTATTACCATTGTTATTACAAGATTCATCTGGTTCCTGTAATTGCTATTTTGCATGTGAGGCACAGAGATTCAGTGGGTCACAGAGCAGCCCAGGGCATGGCCCAAGGTCACCGAGTTCACCCTGGGAGCAAAATCCTACCCTTGACTTCTAAAACACAGCTGAACTTGCCAATCAGTATTGACCAAAGCAGAAAACATTGCCCAAACCATGATGCTGGCCTTGCCCACATGTTCCTATACAGAGTGCCACTGTGTTTCATTAAAGATGTGAGCACGACATGGAATGTTTTGCAGAACAGAGTATATCCAGTGTGTGTTTTTGCCACCCACTCATATGTAAGGAGGGAGTTCCTGAAGGAGGGAGATCTTAAACTCCCCTGGAAAGTCTTCAGGGATGAAGCAGCAGCTTTGATGTTAGCTTCTGCTGCCTGGGGATTGTTCCCGACAGTATCTGGAGACAAATACTGGATCTGTCAAGATTAAGATCTCAGTTGAATGCAGTTATTTAACAATGAAAATATTTGAAATAATTTTGCCAATGACTATTGAAAGCACATTTTCAAAACCATAAAAATCTTCCTGAAACTTTTAGGTAAAATGCATCAAAGGCTGCCACTTTTGCTAATCTTAAAAGGGTTGATCTCCATTTTAAAAAAATATAATTTTAAGTTATATTTTACTCCAAGTTGTCTCTAAATTTCACAACTACTTTTATGATTAAATATTTGGGGTTTTTTTTTGAAATGTCAAAAATATCAATTTGAAACTTTATAATTGGAAATTAATCAGAACCAGTTCTGTCCACAAATGGTTTTAATTTGGACAAAGTGGCATTTGTGAGGAAAAATATGAAAAACAATTCTGCCAAAAAATTCCTCTCCAGCTCTGCTGTAAACAGTGGGCTGCTTTCCACCATTAAAATAGTGCAAAATTTTGAGTAACAACTCTATTCAAATAGTTAATCTATTTCATTTGTATTACAGATTCTTGCTAGTGAATGCAGAGAAAATTGTGCAGCAATACAAAACTAATGCATAGTTAATAGGTCCCATTCTTTTCTTTTCTCCTCCTATGCCTTTACTGCAAAAAGATCCTGAACGTATACACTCAAACACTATTTCTAGCAAATGAGTTACAGTGCCCATAGCACACACACGTGGTAACTTTAGCTGAAATACTCAGCTTCAACTGGATGCCTAAAACCAGCAATCCTGATTGGTCTATTTTATCAGTTTTTTAAATTTTTTTTTCTTATTTTCATTTACATTAAGACATTTTCTCTGTGCGGATGCAGTGAAATGGTCTTATGCTGGGAGCAGTAATACGTTCTTCATTGTACCTATTTGCGCAGCTAGAGAAGGTAAAATGGCTTTAAGGGAAGAGCGAAATATCCCTGTCCCCTTCTTTTTTTTTTTTTTTTTTTAGAAATCATTACTTTCTGCAGAAAACATTTATCAAATGATTTGTCTAATAACCTTTCTTTAAGAGACAATCTACATTCATCCTGGATAAAATCTGTGGATGGAATACATTTCATGGAAATGCTGAGGGTATAAATGTGTCTTGTTCAAATTTAATTTGTTGCGCAAATCCCCAACTGACAACTCTGGGAGTACAGCAGAGGCACTCCTAATGTCTTCAAGAGAGCCTCAATTTGAGCAGAAGATCATAGAATAGAATCATAGAATGTTTTGGGTTGGAAGGGACCCCTAGAGGTCACCCAGCCCAACCCCTCTGCAGGGAGCAGGGACACCTTTAACCACATCAGGGTGCTCAGAGCCCCGTCCAACCTGGCCTTGAATGTTTCCAGGGATGGGGCCTCCACCACCTCTCTGGGCAACCCGTTCCAGTGTAAATCAGGAGTTATGTTGCTGAAGTTACAGAGAGACACACACATGGAGGACACTGGGGAAGTCAGGACTAAGTGGCAGTTGCTAGCACGATCGTACTGGAGTTTTACAGCAGCAGGACCATTTTATCACCATATACATGAAAATATTAAAACTGCAGTATTAAAGGTTTTACTGGTTTGCAGTACTAATATGTCAAAGCCTGGAATAAATTCACAGAGGCTGAAAAAACTAACAAAAAAAGACTGATGGGCTGACAAACCAGTATAATTACATAATTACAGAATAATATATAGTAATAAAATATAAGAATTAATGTATGCTTCAAACAGCATTAACCAGTAAATTATAAATATCAAAATCTTGGCAGAGCTGAACAAAGATTCTGTTTCTCTCTTAATTTAGGAAGGGTGAGGACTTGTCGTTCTCACACTGGGTGAACAGCATTTGACAAGGTAAAGCAAAACATCCCTAGGTCATGACAATCAGCGCATCTCCCCTCGGTGCAAGGTAAAGGTAAACTATCAAGGTGTAGATAAGGCAATCTGAAGTTCCACCAAAATAAAAGGAGAAATCTGAGTCTGCAATAAGCTTCAGCAAATCTCACTGAATTTAAAATCTAAATTTAACTAACTAAAGCCTAAGTAATTGCTTTATTATGGTTCATGGGGGTCAGTTCATAATCACTTGCACATTGAAATCTTGAAAGAATCACTTTCCTTTACAGGAACTTGCATAAACATTACATGGTGTTGAGAATAATGTTATTTCAGCTGAATCAAGTGACTAATCCAAAATCCCCCAAATCACTGTCCCCACTCCCTGGCAGTCATCCTGCCTGCACTTCCCAGGGGAGAGGTTAAATGTGGGACTTTAAGTCACGCAGTTATACTTGTGAGAGCTCTCAGTGCTAGTATGCATTTCATTTCATATCAATAAATTAAACAGAATAAAGATTACCTTAAAATATTCCATCAGAGATCTGGAGTACTTCATAGCATGGTCCTTCTTTAGTTTAAACATTCTCAAGTAGAGAAGTGATAAGCATCGGTAGCTGTGGTAATTAGGAAAGGATTATGTTAATTCCATTGCTTAATGAAACCTATAAACTGTAAAAAAAAAAATGCTGACCTATGTTTTGCAGTTTCTGTTCTAAGGTTAGATTTTGAAACACAAGCAAATGGAGAAAGAAAAAAAGTGGTCAAAAGCATTAAAATCCCATCTTGATAAGAGTATAAATTAGAAGAATAAATGTTTAGTCAGCTGCTGAAGAAATCCATTAGTTATCCTTTAATAGTTTAATGGAAAACAAGAATAATGATCTTCTGTAAGCTGCTTAAGTAATTCAGTACTTTTAAAGTCCTCCTTAAGATTTTAGCTGCTTCTCTCATTGTCGCAATGGGACTTACCATAAAACTGCTAATTTCTTGTCCCCTTCTGTGGCAGAAGAGCCTGTGAAATTCTTGAGTCTCATTGCATACCTTGTTAGAAAGGTGAGGAGAGAAGAAATTGAGAGTTAAGATGTTGCCAGGAATACTAGCCACACATAGGTATTCATTCTTCTCCGACTGCAATAGTTAATGGTAACATCGCTATGTAACGATGAGATCAATGTAAAATTAAACACAAAGCACCACTTAAAGTCTGGAGGGCTAAAGTAAATCACCAACCCATTTTCTGGGCTAACGAGATGAACTGTTCTTGGGCATATTAATGATATATCCAGCCATCTAGGCTGAGTTCTGCAAACATCTGTGATGAGTGTTGGACAGAAGTGTAAGATCCTGGCCCTATGTGTACTGAAGAACATATAATAAGGTTTTACGTATAATACTTTGGGATTGAACAGTACCTTCAAAATCCTTCTCATAAATGCTTCTTCGAAGCTTTTAATATATTTTATATAGAAAACGGTTTTAAATACCGGAAAGGTCATGTTCACAGCTTTTTAAATTCTTGGGTCCATTAATTTATGAGTCTTGTGTACTTGGTCTTCCCTCTCTAATTGCTGCTGTCCAGCATTTGGATGATCAAAGATTGAGTATTCCTACCTCCTCTCTCTTTTTTTTTTTCCCCCTTTAACTGAGCACACTCCATTCCATGCATTAGTCTCTTGAAAATCAATTCATCGCATAAAATCATTGTTCTGAGCCCTAATGCAATTTCACAGGTACTTGTGTTAGAATAAGTAATAGGGTTCAGCGTTGCGTAAGAAAGTTTTAAGGTATCCAGGCAGTCTTGATGAGTTCTCATTTACAAGGAGGTAATGGAGTGCAGGCAGGCAGTGCTGCTCTCACTCTGTCTTCCTCCCACCACCCCCATCATCAGACCCCAGCCTGCAGCCGCAGCGCACCACCCGATGTGCTTCCTCCACGTCCTATCTCACCTGCTCTTCGATATTGTTCTTCCAGTCATACTGAATGAATCTGATCAAACACAAAGATACATGGCGCTCTGGGATTTTCAGTGTTACGTTAGGGATTTTAGCATTACCATTAACTTAAAACACCTTTGCCACTCAGACCTGATATTCTCAATCTCTTTGATGCTCCACTTGCTTTCACAAATAGGAGTCTGCTGCAGATATGCAGGGCAGACACAAGTAATGCAAAAGGGGAAAATGGTACCTCTGAGGAAGTGAGAAAAATCTTCTATTTCTTATCTCACAGTAAAAATCTGTGTTAACATTAGGAGCCACATTGATAAAGAGTGTGTGCACAGCTGCATACTTGGTTTGTACACTCAGAAGCTGCTGTAGCCCTCAAGAATTGCGTATTAGTCCATGGAGTTTATTGAACTTGTACCACCTGGATGCTCACCTGGGCAATCACCTTTTTGCCACGTCTGACTACCGTCAGCAATTAAATGAGCAAACCAGTCTTGCACTGGCTGCCTACAAGATGGTGCGTACAGGAGTTGGTAAGTAAAGCTTTACCTTTGATGGTAGGTGGTGGAATGAATCTCACCTGTCTTTGGCTATTTAGAAATTGGAGATCTACTATAACAAAGCCCTCCAGATTCTTCCATAGCCAAAAGCAGTTCAAAAAGCAATCCAAAAGCAGTTCAGGCTCTGCTTCCATGCCAGGTTCTATCTACCACATAGCCTGCAGCAGGACTGTGCTGATACAGGAGCTGTGGGGAAGAGGAAGGCAGCGGGGCTGTTGATGCCGATGAGTGCCAGTTGCTCCAAGATGCAGCCGTACACTCAGCTGACTCCCTCCAGCACCAGCACCAGCGCCAGCACCACAGGGTGGAGGGAGCTGCAGGTATCGTTCATTTGTGATCTGCTCCTAGAGCCACCGCTCTCTGAGTTAAGTAGTGCGTATGTTGTGGCTATTGAATGAACAAAGATTTTTGGTCTGTCCACTTCTGAACAGACTTCTGGACTGACGAAGAACATTTTCAACGGTGCGATATGGTTTTCTTAATAAATAAAAATGAATGCAGGCTCCTATGAAGAAGCAGTGACTTCTTTAAAGAATACTTCCCGAGTACACTTCTTGGAGCACCTCTCCTATGAGGACAGGCTGAGAGAGTTGGGGTTGTTCAGCCTGGAGAAGAGAAGGCTGCGGGGAGACCTGATTGTGGCCTTTCAGTACCTAAAGGGGGCCTACAGGAAAGATGGGGGCAATCTTTTTAGTAGGTCCAGCTGTGACAGGACAAGGGGTAATGGTTTTAAACTAAACCAGGGTAGGTTTAGACTGGATATAAGGAAGAAATTCTTTACAATGAGGGTGGTGAAACACTGGCACAGGTTGCCCAGAGAGGTAGTGGAGGCCCCATCCCTGGAAACGTTCAAGGCCAGGTTGGATGGAGCTCTGAGCACCCTGATCTGGTTAAAGATGTCCCCACTCACTGCAGGGGGGTTGGGCTGGGTGACCTCTAGGGGTCCCTTCCAACCCAAAACATTCTATGATACTATGATTCTATGATATCCAATTTATGCTGCCATACAACGGTAGGTGTGTAGTTCCGGACACAAAGTACTGAACTGCCTGCTCTCGGAGTGCAGGAGGAGTTTCAGCACAGTGGAGCAGAGGTAGGCAGCTCCTTTCCTTAAGTCCTCTGTACTCAAGGGTTTAACTTGGATCATAAGCTTTGAGTGAATATGATTTTTTTGTTGAGTAATCTCTTTAGATTTTCTTCTTCTCTTTATGAAGTGTAGAATGTAAAAACATGTTTTTAAATATTTAACAGGCATATTATTTACCTGAGAGTAAGAGCTTCTTAAGATTTGATACATTTTATTATGTGAATACCTACTTACTCAAAATGTAAAACATGCATTATTTTTGGCAGTTCCTAATAGCTAGCCAGGCTTGTTAAAATCCTGCACGTTAAAAACCCACCTTTGTCATATTAAACCCCAAACATTTAAGGCCTGATTTGCCTCCTTTTCTTTCTCTTGTGTAAACTGCCAGTAATTACACTGACATTACTGGTGATATTCCCAGCATACACTGGGGAAAAGCAGAGGTGCATCACAGTGAAAAGGAAAAATCCTGTTGTTCCACTTACAGGTAAATTTAATCCTGCTTGATTTCACTTTGATAATTTGCGCAAGTAAAGCAAACAAGCCCTTAGTTACTCAGGAGACCATTATTTCTACGGAGCTAACACTACAAAACAGCTATAGGGAACAGTAGCAGATTTAAAAATAATAATAATTCAGACATTTTATTAGTAAGTAAAGGTGCTTTCATCCATATTCTAGCCTGTGAGTCTACAAAACTGTATTAAAACTAATTCAGCTGGTTCACACTCCTTTAACACAAAAAAATATACTTTTTTAATACAATAAATGCGGAAAGCTTCCTCTCTGGCTATCACCTTACGTGCCAAGTTTCAGCTTTTTTTTTTTAACAGCCAAGTTATAAACCTTTAAAAACAGGGTTTTTAATAGAAATCCTGATAGACTCACTTTAATGTTTTGAATTATAAAACTACACCTTTTAAAAGACAAGTGTCATTGCCAAACAGTGAAATTACTATACTTTACTTCCACCCACTACATTTCAATTTTAATTTTATGAATATTGCAAATTATAACACTCACATTATAACCTCTAAAGGGGATAATTTATAAAAGCAGTGTCCATCAATTATAAATTTTCCATGACATTAATAAAATGGCAAGAACTAATTATGATGACTTCTGAGATGAAGATGCCTTGGACAAATCATTAATACGTTGAAATGGTATTTTTTAAAACATAGCAGGTTCTAATTATGACTGAAATGAGATTATGAAAATGATCACAGAAAGGACATTAACCTGATGAGTTCCACAGTCTCTGAGTACATGGTGTATGGAGATTTAGCTTCTAATGGATCTCGCTCCATAGCGTTCCCGCACTCGATGAAGGAGAGGGCAGCATCAGCATAATTCACTGCTTTGCCGAACTTCTCCAGCTGAAATGGGAATGACACCATCAAGAAAATCCTTCAGCTTTAATTTCTAGGTAGACAGATCTTAATACAAAGCAATGCTAGCATTAAGATGGAAGCAAATCAACGCTGGTAGTTAAGAATGAATTCATACAGTAATTAAGGCAGGGTCTATGTTTTTATCAAATCTTTTTGGGTGCTATACGGCCAGGCGCTCCACAGAGGAGAGCCAATGTACGTCCATTGACATGCATGGATTTACACAGGCAACAAGGGACACCAAGCGTGTTTGAACAAATCCATGCTGCTCCTTGATATATGAACTAAGTTTGAATGTTACTATGCAAGGGTTAAGTAACAACTCAATGCCATTTGTCAGCCATCACATTCTGTGTTAACTGTTGACCAAAAAAAAAAAAAATCTCATCACTTATGCGATGACTGAAAGAGCAGAAAAAAAAGGGAGAAAATACAGCACTGCTAAATATTTTATTTTACTAGGATTTTATTGCAAAAGGTTTTAGCCCTCATAATGGTTGTGATTAAACTGACTTAGACATACTGATTTCTTTTTTTATGTGTGATGAATATTATATATGACATTTTTATAGTAAGTATTTTATAATAGTATTTAACATTTTCAATTTTTGATAGCTGGATATAAGAATTCTACTAATGTGGCATTTGATATAAGAGGTCCAATATACTTTAAATGATTAAAAAATTTCTTTGTATGTCTCTATCAAAATATTTTTGATGCATCTGCATATGTTTTCCATTCACAAAATGGAAGCCCATCCTAGCAACATATTAAGCAGGACAGTTAGTATTGGTCCAAGGTGACAATATATTTGCCTTTGTGGCTACTTCTAAGCGATCCTTACAACCAGTTCCCTCTGCATGCCTTTAATTTCAAGCTCTGCTCTTGTGCATTGATTATGTGCAAAGCTTTTGTATAATTGATAGGTATTGCTTGAATGATCATAGAAGGGGAAATATTTCTAAATGTTTTCTTTCTATCCCAATGGCCACTTCTCAGCATATTCTTCAAATTCCTTGCTTCAAGTCTTCCAAAGACGATTTTTTGTAGCATTAAAAAAAGGAATTTGGCTGCAAGCAAGTAAAAACACACAGTTTGAGCCAGAAATGGGATCTGATCCTGCCTCTGCTCCATACTAACTCTTGCAGAGTAGGTTGAATTACTCCAGCTCATCACAGCTCAGCCGAGAACAGTGAGGTCTCCGAGATCTCTTCCATATGGTACAGTCAGTTGCCACTGCAGCAGCCCACCCACACTAGTTGATTCCTTACTGCCATCCCAGACAAGGATGGGTTTTCACGGGCTTGCTCCCATAAGATGCAAAATGCCTTGCCCTTCACCAGAAATCTATTTTCCGTACAAGCTCAGGAACAGCATTGCCACAAATCTCATTAACATTTGCTGACATGTTTTGAGGTCACATGCGCTATCTTTCTAGCCACTCCAACACATCTTTCAATGCTGCGTATGCTTTGTCATGTCAGCACCAAGTAACCAGAAGCAATTGTTTCCATAGGACAACTAACACTACAGGATTGCACCGCAAATGTGTTACATGGAGATAATTTGTGTGCAGCTGTATTGATGCATGGATTTACACAGGCAACAAGGGACACCAAGCGTGTTTGAACAAATCCATGCTGCTCCTTGATATATGAACTAAGTTTGAATGTTACTATGCAAGGGTTAAGTAACAACTCAATGCCATTTGTCAGCCATCACATTCTGTGTTAACTGTTGACCAAAAAAAAAAAAAATCTCATCACTTATGCGATGACTGAAAGAGCAGAAAAAAAAGGGAGAAAATACAGCACTGCTAAATATTTTATTTTACTAGGATTTTATTGCAAAAGGTTTTAGCCCTCATAATGGTTGTGATTAAACTGACTTAGACATACTGATTTCTTTTTTTATGTGTGATGAATATTATATATGACATTTTTATAGTAAGTATTTTATAATAGTATTTAACATTTTCAATTTTTGATAGCTGGATATAAGAATTCTACTAATGTGGCATTTGATATAAGAGGTCCAATATACTTTAAATGATTAAAAAATTTCTTTGTATGTCTCTATCAAAATATTTTTGATGCATCTGCATATGTTTTCCATTCACAAAATGGAAGCCCATCCTAGCAACATATTAAGCAGGACAGTTAGTATTGGTCCAAGGTGACAATATATTTGCCTTTGTGGCTACTTCTAAGCGATCCTTACAACCAGTTCCCTCTGCATGCCTTTAATTTCAAGCTCTGCTCTTGTGCATTGATTATGTGCAAAGCTTTTGTATAATTGATAGGTATTGCTTGAATGATCATAGAAGGGGAAATATTTCTAAATGTTTTCTTTCTATCCCAATGGCCACTTCTCAGCATATTCTTCAAATTCCTTGCTTCAAGTCTTCCAAAGACGATTTTTTGTAGCATTAAAAAAAGGAATTTGGCTGCAAGCAAGTAAAAACACACAGTTTGAGCCAGAAATGGGATCTGATCCTGCCTCTGCTCCATACTAACTCTTGCAGAGTAGGTTGAATTACTCCAGCTCATCACAGCTCAGCCGAGAACAGTGAGGTCTCCGAGATCTCTTCCATATGGTACAGTCAGTTGCCACTGCAGCAGCCCACCCACACTAGTTGATTCCTTACTGCCATCCCAGACAAGGATGGGTTTTCACGGGCTTGCTCCCATAAGATGCAAAATGCCTTGCCCTTCACCAGAAATCTATTTTCCGTACAAGCTCAGGAACAGCATTGCCACAAATCTCATTAACATTTGCTGACATGTTTTGAGGTCACATGCGCTATCTTTCTAGCCACTCCAACACATCTTTCAATGCTGCGTATGCTTTGTCATGTCAGCACCAAGTAACCAGAAGCAATTGTTTCCATAGGACAACTAACACTACAGGATTGCACCGCAAATGTGTTACATGGAGATAATTTGTGTGCAGCTGTATTGAGGGGAAAAAAAAAAAAAAGTTGAGAACTAAATAGCAAAAGAAAAAGCAGATATTTTGTTCATGGCTATTTATGTCTGCCAACAAGTTGTATCGTAGCGGCCGGCCTCACATTCCCGTAAGAGCACTCGGGGTGTCAAACTGCATGTGACAGGCAAGGCCTGCCTGTGGGCAGCAGCGTGATGTGCTGTGCCTGCTTCTCTTAGTTCTGCTTGAGAAACACCCCCAATTCCACAAGGCATAGTCAAAGGTAAGAGGACAGGAGACAGGTCAACACTTTCTGAGTGAATCAGGCTGTGGAGGGAAGTGGATTGACATAGCATGTTGAGATCATCAGGAGCCGGAGCCTGTAAATATTTGCTACCGTGAAGCAGGCATCCCTGTGCCAGAACCATGTGTATTTTCTTTAAAGGTCAATCAGCTGTGGGAGGTGTTGTCAGTCTGGCTCTGCCAGCCTTCCCCACGTGCAGATGTCGGGGCTCTGGCTGAACACGCTCTGCTGCAGGAAGCAGCGCAGGCCACCTCCTGTAAATGGGCAGGTCGGGAGGGACGCCTGCTAACTTACTGGCACTCACGGCAGGTTGCCAAAAACCTGAACCCACCTCCCACAGAAAACACCCTTGATAACACTGTGCCCCAAGCCAAAAGGGAGCCCGGAGAGCTGAAGCAGGCAGCTTAACATCTCAACTCTCCTTCGGCTCACCAACAGCAGGGGGAGAGCTATTTTTTTCTAATTTATTTCTTTTGGTTCTTAAAAACATAGCACGTGGTTGTTCTGGGGGTTTTGGACAAACACTTATTTCCAAACAGAAAAACCTCTGAGGTGGAATGATATAATACGCATGCAAAAAACCCCATAAATAATAAAGTGAGAGGTGAATAATCAACCAGTTCTTTTTCAGTTGTGATTTTGAAGGCAAAGTGAATGGCCACACTCCATTTTAGACATCTTAGTTTTTAATAAAGAGGAGCCAAGTTCCACTTATCCTGCCTAAATGAGCTGCTGTTCTGCACTCTATGTAGCATATGGGAGCAAAGTCCCTAACTACAAAGCAAATGGCAGTGCTAGCAGTAGCTTGGATTGAACAAACTACGATAGAGTATAATCTGTCAGATTAAGTAGTTTTATCAAAATCAAAACACTTTGCAAATTTACGTCAATCTTACTGGAATTTCATCTGGGGTAAAACAAGAGGAAAAGCTTTCTCAGCATTGAACTACCTCATTGCAAGATTTTTTTGGGAAGATACCAGCCTAAAAGCATGCAACAAAAATGAATGTACTATTTAAAAATCAATTGTTGGAAATTTTAAACAATTGGATTGGGAATATCAAACAGTTTTACTACATGATAATGAGGTGGGGAGTGATTTGCCTTTCTTAACTTTCTGTTACGGAATATTTCAACACTTTTGTTTTAGGCCCAAAGTGAATAGGAAAACAGATTTCAAATACACATCATCTTTCATGAAACTACCTTACATCCTTCATAAACAGCATGACTGTTGCTCCTCCTTGGAAGAGATACCAGCTATTGTAAGGAGCTGCTTTTTTTGTTATTGAATTGTTAACAGCTAGAGATGGTGCTCAGGGTTTGACTTGCAGTGGACAGTGTGTTTATGGAGTACAATCTGAAGCATGCTTTAGTCAGTGGCAGGGTTCCTCTTGGTTTCTGAGGCTTTAGATGACATTCAGAATGTACATTTTTGTAACACCCAGCTCCATAGCGGAAAGAGACACACCCCCCCCATGATAACCTACCAACGCATCTGCTTTATGCTTTAGCTTCTTAGCCTCTTGCATGTAATAATCCGCATTGTGAAGCCTAAAGAGACAAAATCCATTATTTCAAGTCTTTGTTTTCACACAGTTGGACAAACATTGTTTGGGAAAATTGCTGACTGCTTCCAAGAACAATTTCAACATATATGCTCACTTATCTGTTTAAATCTTAACCTGATATTAATCTGAAGCTGCTATATGCAAAGATATGATGGGTGACCAAAATGTAAAATAACTAGCTGTAGAAACTGGCCACCCAAAGGACCCATTAATGTGTGCTGAACAGAGGAAAAGGAAAAATATTTTAAACTAATTAAGTATAAGAAGTTTCCATTAGAGGAGCTAAAATAAAAAAATGAGGAAGAATTACCGTGAACCAACATTCATGATCTGAAAACATTTATCAATAGAGTCTTCATTAATCAGTGGCAACAGTTCATTTGTAAAGATTAAAACTGTTTGTGCCTTTGTGCAGCGCTACCCACACAGGTGCCCAATGCCAGTGTTACAATCAAAGATCGCTCTTTCATTGGGAGCTCTGAGTGCATGAAAATCCCAACTACGTAACAATGCAGCTAGCACAGAGATCCAATAATACTTACACATCATCAAATGTTATTTTGGGTCTTCTGGGCTCAGAATTCCCATTGGAAAGTGTTGGCATCGCAGACCAGATGTCTGTTTCTAGATGGCTGGTGTCAAGAAGAGTGTTGGCTGTTGGTGTATTGTGAGATTCTTCCTCCTAGAAAAAAAGGACTGTTATTAACTCTTCATAGTTCAAACAAACACCTTCCAACAATATAAGTGCTCACATCCACCCCCCAAACAAACCCCCAAACAAAAGGCACTAGGAAGGACTCTTACATACATGGGGAAAATCTTTTTAATAGGGCCAGCTGTCACAGGACAAGGGGTAATGGTTTTAAACTAAAACAGGGTAGGTTTAGGCTAGATATAAGGAAGACATTCTTTACAATGAGGGTGGTGAAACACTGGAACGGGTTGCCCAGAGAGGTGGTGGAGGCCCCATCCCTGGAGGCATTCAAGGCCAGGTTGGACGGGGCTCTGAGCAATCTGATCTAGTTAGCAGTGTCCCTGCTCACTGCAGGGGGTTTGGACTAGATGACCTCTAGGGGTCCCTTCCAACCCAAACCATTCTATGATTCTATACCCAACTACATCGAGGGTACCTCACAAAACCACCCTTACATCCTTTATATCATAAGCCTATTAGATTAACCAGGCAATATGACTCTACTTCTGACCCCTCACCTGAATTCATTAACTTAAACTCTTAGGTGAAGTCAGCCTGGATACTGCAGTGTTACCGACAAGAGACACTGCTTAAAGTAAGGGTGGGAAAATCTAATGCAGAAGGGCTGGATGTAAACTCAACGTCATTCAAGATGGATAACACTAATGTAGCCTTTTTTTCTACGTTATTATTAGCTAACTCTCTGAAAAGTCTGCTCGGGTTTCCGTAAGGAATGGTTTCCTCACCCTTGCTACAGAGAACAGAGAGACGAATGGAAAGCGGAAGTCAGGAGTTGTGACTTCGCATTGACTAAAAACAGAGGCATAACAGAAGCATTTAAATCAGGCAATTGCAACTTGCAAGCTAGGTC